AAACTGGAAATTATCTAAAATTCTAACAGTGAGTGAACAGGTGGTAAGTCATGGTATATCCATACAACAAAAAGTGTACTCAGCAAGAAAAAAAAAAATCCACCCAAACATGCACCCACATGAACAGATCTCTAACTCCACTCAGCTCCTGATATCAATAGTGCAAAAAAATACATTTACAATACATGTGTCTGATACAAGTCTTATGTCCAGAGTATATACAGAACTTTTAAAACACATTTTTTAAATGGGCATAGATTTCATTTAAAACAATGTACATGTGGAAAATGAGCAGATGAGAACATGTTCAGATCATAAGTCATCTGGAAAGTGAAAATTAAAACCACAGCAAGGTAATCCTACACACTCATCAGAATAACTAAAATGTTCAAAATGATAGCTCCAAGTAAAGTAGAGGATGTAGAGTAACTGACACTCTCACAAATTGCTGCCAGGAGTGTGAAATAGTATGATCATGTTGGAAAATAGGACTTTAATTTATAACCTACCATATCATTCAACAATTCCATTTCTAGATATTCACCCAAGGGAAATAAAAACATATGTGCACAAAACGACATGTACAAGAATGTCCAGAACAGCTTTACTCATAAATGCCCCAAACTGGAAACCATCTAAATGGGCAACCATGAATGAATAAACAAGTCATGGCAGAGCCATACAATGAAAATAGGACTTAGCAGTTTAGCAATAAAAAGAAGAATCAAGAGGAATGTGCAACCTCATGAACTGTCTTAACTAAGCCAGACATATAAAAAGACATATGTGATTCTATTTCTATGAAGTTCTAAAACTAGCAAAATTCATCTATAAAGACAGAAATCAGATCAAGAGTCGCCGAGGGTGTGGAAATGACTGCAAAGGAGAATGAGGGTATTTTTGGGGATGACGGAAATTTGCTAAATGTATATACACAAGGGTGTATATATTTGCCAAATACATCAAATTGTACACTCAAAATATACATATGTTACAGTCTGATTGTATTTTTTCTTTGTTTTTTTTTTTTTAATTTGGGGGGTACTGGGAATCAAACTCAGGGCCTTGCATTTGCCAGGCAGGTGCTGTACCACTGAGCTGTCTCCCCAGCCCTGTTGATTGTAAAACACACTTGAAAAAATATGTTTCTGGCATTTACAAATCTATATCAGACACTAAATACTAAATAAATATGTAAGTAAATATTTTATTGAATAACTTTTGGTATTCAAGTAAACTGTTTATCTCTTTTACATTTCTGGATGGTTTTTAGTAGAAAAGAATAGGGCTATTGCTCTGCTTATTTTACCCGTTTATTTTACTCCAGAGACTTTGTGAGATTCTCTCATTTTGTTATTTTTAACTGAAATCCTTTGAGTTTTGTAGGCATACAATCATATAATTAGCAACAACTTTATCTGTTATTATCCAACATTTATACAGATTAATTTGTTTACCCTCCTTCAAAAGATTCTTCAAAAGAATCTTAAATAATAATGGCAGTCACCAAATGTCCTCTGTTTTCTAACTTTAAAGCATAGGTGTCCTGTATTTTGGCTTGCCTGAGCCACACTGTATAAAGAGGAATTTTCTTGGGCCACATATAAAATGGAATATAGTTAAGGTATATGTTTTTAAAAGAACTTTTCCTATCTAATTTATTATATTACAAATTAACACTACAAACCCAAGTTTAAGAATTAAGTAAGAACACTTACATGACTGCTTAATACAATAAACAGTGTGTCACAGGCACACAGATGTGTAGATGTGAAAATACTATTATTATACTTGCCAAGCCCCACTATACATGTAACATCTGATACATGGGGTTCCCATTCCGCTGTTGGTGATAAGTTATACTGAATTCTCCCCTATACAGTGTTCCTTTGTCATCTGCACAGTCCACACTGGAGAACCAGGCAACCGAGTCAACAAAAGCGTCGCTAAAAATCACGTAATAATGTTGAAGATTTACATTCTTATCGCTTTGCATCACTACCACTACATTCAGCCCACAGGGCCACGGGATGGACACGACTGCCTTAAAGGAAATATTTTAACAACCAAGTGTTTAAAATATGACTTGTATGCTCTGCTTTCTCTTCAGATTGCATAAATCTTTAGCCTTTTAAAATATGACTTGTTATTGGACTTTTGGTAAAGTGTGTATCAATTTGTAGTCTATACCTATTTTTAGTTCACTTTGCTTTAGAATAATTTTTATTTTATCATCTCTTTTTCTCCAAGAATGATTTTTAAATTTTTCCAATGAATTTTCAGCATTTATTAATATGTTTCCTCACTTTAAATTGTTCAGTCAATGAAATATGGTTACAGATGCCTTAATATTGCAAAGTTTGGTTTCCTGGAATAAAATTTGTTAAATTTTTTTTTGGTGAGATACTGGATTTTCCTTTGGATACATATTCATAAACTAACTTTAACTTTGTTAAATCTCAATACTATTTCATTTTACAATAAGGGTGGTTTCATAAAATAATTTAGGGAGTTTCCATCTTTTTTCTGCCTTAAACAGTAAAAATAATATTTAATTATCCATCATTCTTTAAAGACTAAAAAGGATTTAAAAACTTAACTGTGAACCTAATCATGCTATTTTATAGCAGATATTTAATCTCCAATTTTTTTGTTGTAATTAGGCTCTTCATAGTTTTTACTGTTTGAGTCAATTTTTTAAGAAATCATTCATATCTGCTAGGTTTTCACATGTGTTGCTCTTAAGCTGTAGTTAGTAATTTATAATCTTTTAATTTTCTTCTGAATCAGTGGTTACCATCTTTCTAATTTCTACCCTACATAATTTTGTTCTTTTTCACACACAAAAAAAAATCAGAGCCATGGCAAGATTATCTTATCTTTGGTGTTTTGGTTTTTTTTTTTGTTTTTGTTTTTCTCCGGTACTGGGAACCGAACTCACGACCTGTGCTTGCCAGGCAGGCGCTTTTGCCGCTGAGCTAAATCCCCAGCTCTTTGGTGTTTTTAAAGAACCAGGTATTACAGTTATTTCTGCAAATTTGAGGATTTTCTACTTTATTAATTTCAATTGTTATCTTTATTGCTTCTCTTACTATCATTTTGTTTCCAATTAAGATATATATCTTCATATATTTTATATTAATAAAATGTTTTATATTTCATATTTATTGAATGAAAAATTCTCTGTACTCGAAATGGTAACTTCAAGCTCAGCGTGGTGGCATACACTTGTAATCCAAGCACTCAGGAGCTGAGGCAAGAGGACCACTGTGAATTAGAGGCCAACCTCAGCTACATAGCAAGTTCAAGGCCAGCCTGAACTGCATAGTGAGACCCTGTGTTACGGTTTATGTCTGTGTGTCCCCTCCAAAGCCTCATGCGGTCACGGGGCAGGCTTTTAGAGTTGAATAATTGTGGGTGTGAGAGCTACACCCTCCCTGGGGTGGATAGTTTACATATGTAAGGGAGAGGAAAAGAGTGCTTGGGCCGTTTTCCTCCCCCATTCCGCCCTGGTGTGGGGTTGTTGCTTAGCTGTGTTCTGTACCCTGAGCTGTTGCCATGTGCCACTCTGCCTTATAATCTGCTAAGTACGGGCTGAAACTTCCACGAACTGTAAGTGAAATAAACCTTTCCTTCCTTAATTTTGGGCGTCAGGTATTTTGTCCCAGCAGCGAGAAAAAAGTAACCAAGACACCCTGCCTCACAAAAAAAAAAGGGTGGGGGGAGAGAGAAAGAGTAACTTTGAGGCTGAAGGTGTAGTTAGTGGTACAGCAGGTACAAGACACTACGTTCTATCCCCAGCACACACACACACACACTCACACTAAATCACACTAAATCACTCACACTCACACTACATCAAAAATAAAATAAAATCGTAACCTTCATCATCCCACTTCCCCACACTCTCATTATTACTGTGCTTGTTTTAAAATTTTTTATACCATTTATCACTTATGATCTTTCAAGTATATGAGTTCTTAATACATAAACCGGACATGGAGGCAAACACCTGTAATCCCACCACTCGGGAAGCTGAAGCAGGAGGATTGCTGCAAATTCGAGACCAACCTGGGCTACATAGTGAGTTCAAGGCCAGCCTGAACTACATAGCAAGACTCTGTCTCAAAAAACCCAGAAAAAAAAACTGAGTTGTTTATATATTGCTTATTGCTCATCCTCTGTCAACTGTACACGCAGAAAGTCCACCCAGAAAGTCCACAGGGCTGGGAACTTTTATCTGTATTGCTCACCGATACATCTCAAAAGCCTAAATGGTGCCTGACATAAGCTAGGTATTCAAGAAAGTGTTAGGTTATTATGATCGTATGACGCATTTGAGTCACAAAAGGGGTAAACAGGAAGATGCTGGTGTCCACTCAGTCACCCACACCCAGTCAGCTCTCCTCTTGGTTCCTGCCAGGCCTGGGGCTGAGACTCAGCACCGCGTCCCCACCTCCCCAAGCCACGCCCCTGCATTTAGGGCAGGGCAGGGAAGGATGCTTGCTGCCAATCAATGCGGGGGAGAAAACGCATTGACTTTACAAGACTATTCTTCCCATTTCTTACAGATCTTCAATTGGCAGCAGAATCAGTTTTTTTTTTTTTTAGTATTATAATTATTAATGCTACACGACCCTAACAATTAAATACACCAAGGGGGATCCTAAAAGAGTCTTGGGCAGTCAGGTCAACACCATGAATGGTTTCACCAAAGCGCCCTTCGCCTAAGCGAGACCTGTAGTCCCTGAGGGGAACGCAGTGGGTTACTTGGGATGCGGGCGGCCCTGCTCTGACGTCAAGGTCGTGAGGCAAAACCAGGAAAGAAGCCGCCTCGCGCCACTAAAAACTTGCCCCCTATGTATCCCTGAGGGCGCCCCCAAAACACCAGGAACTAAAAGCTCACTCCCTGCCCCAAGTACACCCGGAGCCCGATCCTCGCACGCGCAGTCGCAGGCCGAGCCCGGCTCGCGGTCCTCGCCCCGCCCCCTAGACCGGAAGGACTCACCGGCGTTTCCTGTGGTCGGCGAGCAACCCTGTGGGTTACCTCGGTGATGTCGTGGTTTCAAGCTGCTCAGTCGGTTGGTAAAACGGGAGACCAGGGGGACGTGTTTGACGAGGACGCGGATGAGTCGCTTGTGGTACAGCGGGAATGGCGGAGCCACATGCAGAGACGAGTCAAAGTAAAGCGGGGTGGAGGCTGCGGGGATCCTTTGGGGTGCCGAGCTGTGGGGACGGGGGCCTGGCGATGTGAAGGAGCGGGGTTCCCGGGCCTGCTTGCTCCCCGGTCTGCCCCGATCTTGCTCAGATTCCCCAGTGTCACTGGAAAGTGTGTTGTGAGTTCCTGCCGCAGCCGCGGACCTACCTAAATAAACTTTATCCAGACTTTAAAAAGTTTGTAGTTCAGCGAGGATCATAGGGGAAGGAGTGGAAGACGCATATGGGCACCACTCTTGACTGGCCGAGGACGCCCTTCCTCGGTGCTCCCTGCACGGGTGGGGGATCCCAGTTAGGAGTGACACCAGTCAAAATGTTTGGGAAAGGCGGATTGAAGAATGCTGTCTCAGGGAAGTAGGGGAGAGTTTAGTGTGAAATGCCACTGGCTGGATAAGAGAATATTAAAGTTGGTTTCCTTTTTATTAAGTGTGAACTATTCTTTCCTAATTTGCCTCACTCTTCCTTGAAACTAAGCGTAATTTCTGGGTGGGTCGCTCAGAATTTTGAACTAAGACGTAAGATCCGCATCCACATATTTGCTAACTATTGAAGCATCCATACAGCAGCAGTTGGGGGATCTGCCCTAATTTAATCTTTCGGTAAAGTTAATACTAGCTTAGTCCAGCAATCATGTTGTCGGTTACAGAAGCGCTTTCCAAGAGGTTCGGACTAGACCTATAAGTATTGAGCATCTTGTGAGTGCCATGACACCCTGGAGAGATACAAGGCAGAATCTCTATCCACTGAGAATTTGCAGGTTGATTGAATTTGGGTATCAAGAAAAATTTCTAAAACCAGACTTCTCATCTTCCTTTTCCTAAAACTGTTTCCTCTTTCTCGACTTTACCAGCCTTCTTACTCACCCATACAATTCCAGTCAGTTGCCAAGCGCCAGACGTGTAATTTCCTCACTGTGAAGACATTGTTAATAGAGTTTTTGAAGCTGTGTTTCGTGGGGCACAGCGGCCCGCACCTGTAATCCCAGCACTTGGGAGACTGAGGAAGGAGGATAACCACAAGTTCGAGGCCAGCCGGGGCTACACAGTGAGTTCAAGGCTAGCTTGAACTAGGCTTAGACAGGCTCTGTCTCAAAACAAACAAGATATGTTTAAAATCTGCCCAATACATCTAGACTTAAAAAGTGAGATAAGAAAAGATAAACAAGTAATAAGCTGTTGGGAGAAAAACTGTTTCCTTTGCTTCTGTGCCTGTGCTATATTATGTTCAGTAATAGAAAGACCAAGTTCATCAAGTTTTATAAATTGATTCTGTGCCTTTCTAGAAAAGCCTACCTATCCTTCGCTTTGTGTAGTTACTGCTGCAATTCTTCATTGCTTATTTTAGGAAGGTTATAGAGATGGAGTAGATGCTGGTAAAGCAGTTGCTCTTCAACAGGGCTTCAATCAAGGCTATAAGGAAGGTGCAGAAGTCATTATGAACTATGGGCAACTCAGAGGAACACTGAGGTAATTTAAAAAATGTCAGTGCTGAATCATTTTAGCCATAAGACTGGAGTACTTTTTGTAATGTATAAAAATCAAGTGTTTAACGTGCTTTTCCTAGTGTGGCATACACAAGAGTGCTTCAGAACATGCACTGATGCTACCTTTGAAAAGTAAAAATTATTTCCGTTTCATCCACCTTCATGTGTAAACCAGATATTGTCCTTTTTTTGCAAAGAAATGGTAGGAAGGTATATACTTTATGCTACCCAAACTCCCACCGGTCTCTAATGTAAAGATCTTCACGTATTAAATAAAAGTTTTTCATACTTGCTCGTGTAGTAGAACACAATTCAACAGACCAGAAGTACATTATGAAAATTATAGTTACTAATTGAAAAAATGGTATCTTGTGTTTTAATCTATAGCGGTAATGCCAGATAGCAGGACCAACTGGACAGTTAACGTGTGCTGAGAAATGGACAGGCTCATCCTCTTTGATACTTGAGACCTTTTAAACTAGTCTCTGTAGAGAAAAACAAAATACTTTAACAAATCACTAATTTTGAAAAAGAGAAGAGGACAAAAGAAAACTATCAAAACAAAACAAAAAAAGTCATGTGTTTGGACTTAGACAAAATTCAACTGACAGGGACTAGAATTTATAGTCTGCTATGGTAAGAATATGATCAAGTATCTATATTCACATCATCAAGTTAAATTAATCTTTTTATAAGTTGAAGATGCTTAGTACTGAAGTTTTTGTAACAACTGATTCCAGTTTTAAAACATTACGTCTTGGCTGGGTTGTAACTCAGTCGTAGAGCATGTACTAGTCCACGTGAGGCCTTAAGCTCAATCCCTAGCACACACAAAAAAGATTGCTCTTTGTAATAACCATTATTTATGATATGACATGATTTTCTGAACAATCTAAAATGTTTGCTTCACAAACTCAATTCTCCATGATTCTGGTCACAAACCAAGCTGGACAAATTGAATAAAATTTTCCCATGTCAACTTTGAACCTAACCATTGAATTTGATACTGTTCTTATCCAATTCTCTTTGCAACCAGAATCATGGGAAGAATCAAGTGCATGAACTGAGGTACCACTGTATTCCATACTAGAAAAGTAAGAAAAAAATATTAAATCTAGAATAATACTTCCTTTTCCAAGGAAGTAGTTTATAGTTCCTTAGGTGATTCTAATGTGTAGCCACTATTAAGAATGACTAATTTAACATCGGGCATGGTGGTGCACGCCTGTAATCCCAACACTCAGGGCTGAAGCAGCACTATTGCCACAGGTTTGAAGCTAGCCTGGGCTGCATAGTGAGTCAAAAACAAAAAGAAAAATAATCACTAGTTTAGAATGTTTGATGTCTTTAAAGGAGAAATTGATTTTTTCTGCTCTTTCTGTAAATTGTATCCGTCTGTACCAGAAATTACATGATCCTTAGGGAAAACCCAAAATCATGAAAAGTAGGTATAAAGCTGTGAAGAAGGAGGTATAAACAGTTCATATGATTAGTATGCTTGTTTTATTTGTATTAAAAGATAACACATTCTTATTTTTTAACACGTTCCCACCAGTTTGAACCACTGGTGGTACACACATAACTATCCCATTAAGCAACTTGTACCACCTGATGAAACTGCCCCACACCACCCAATAGGGCAGTTGTGCATGTACCACTGGTACATCAAGACATGAATCACAGCCCAGTCATGGATGTGTTAATTCTATTTTACCATCATTACTTTCTTGATTTTGACTTATGTTATTATCATTAATTCATTTGTGCATGGTGTTTTCTGATCGAAAAACATGTAGAGCTTAGCATCAAACATTGTAAAAGCCTATGACTATTTAATATTTTTCCCATTTAACTTTTTTTTTTAATGTTTTCATTCAGTGCTCTGCTCTGCTGGTGTCACCTTCGTGATAATAGTTCGACTCTGATCAGTAAGATAAATAATCTCCTGGATGCAGTCGGCCAGTGTGAAGAGTATGTGCTCACACATCTGAAATCAATCACATCCCAGCCCCATGTTGGAGATTTATTGGACTCCATTGAGGATATGGACCTTTGTCATGTAGTTCCAGCTGAGAAAAAGATTGATGAAGCTAAGGATGAAAGACTCTATGAAAATAATGCTGAGTTTAACAAAAACTGTGGCAATAGTCCTGGCAGGGCCAGTTGTTCATATTTAGAAGGCTGCAGAACAAAAGAGCCTGCCCATTCCGCCAACCCAAGCCTCACCTGGATTTTAGAACAGACGGCCAGTTTAGTTACACAGCTGGGAGTCTCAGTTGATGTATTACAGCACCTCAAACAACTTTGAAAATCTTGCCTTTCTAATGAAAGCAATGTTCAGAATATTTCTTAGAGCACTTTGTTTCCTAATAAGGTATCCAAAATTGTGCTGGATTCTGCATTGAACACTTCACCTATAGTTGTCTTTCATGAAGTTTGAAATGTCTCCAGTATCAACACTATTAAATGTAATATAAGCCTCTTTAGTCTCTATCACTGGTAATTTATTTGTAATTTAAGATAGGATGAATAAGTGCACATGGCATTGTCATTTTCAATTTTCTGATCAAAATCAAGCATTTTTAGACTTTAGCAAAAGTGAACTAGAATCAAACATTTTGTAGGAAGTTGCTGCTACTTTCTGCTTTGGTCACCATCAGGTGATTCTGTACTTCATCACCAATTAATCAGACCTAAGTTACCAAAATTAACCCAACTCTAACGTTATAGATAGACACACAGCAGTGCATATGTAGATTTATAGATATATAGCCATATATTTAAGGCACAGTGAAAATTGAAGTAATATTTATACTGTTTACTGAAAGATTAAAAGCATATATACTAAATTCAGTGTAGTTAAATATTGATATGAAGTAAAGGTGTTCAGGGTGGGCATGTTTGCAAAACCCGTAGTCCCAGCACTTAGGAAGCTAAGCCAAGAGAATTGGTTTTTTGTTGTTTGGGTTTTTTGTTGTTTGGGGGCTTTTTTATTTTGAGATAGGGTCTCACTATGCAGTTCAGGCTGGCCTTGAAACTCACTTTGTAGCCCAGGCTGGCCTCAGACTTACAGCAATCCTCCTGCCTCATCCTACCAAGTGCTGAGATTACAGGCATGAACCACCATGCCCATCCAAGGCACGAGGATTGAGTATTCAAGACCAATCTGGAGTGATTTCAAGGCCACCCTAAGCTGCACAGTTCAAAAAAAACAGACCAAAAAAGCAGCATACTCAGTTCCATGAAAAATGTAGAACGTACACTTCCCACTCAAGTCTGAAGAACAATACCTATTTAGTTTTTCTAAGTAGCGAGGAGTTAGTAATGTTGCCTAACAATGTGCCAGGTTATTTCTAAATTGTACCTTTGTTTGACATTCTCACAGGAATGAAAACACTGACTTCTGTACTATTACCTCGAGGTGAAATTGTTAGTCTCACATAGACCAAATTAGATTCAAATTTTTGCTCTAAGACCTGAGCATGTCAGGATCAGAATTTCTAACTACTTTTTTCACATGAAACACAAATTTAAATGAGGTGCCTGACCTTAGAGGCACTCAAATAATTATCCTTTGAAGCCTTAGTTGCTATGTCACCATCTACTTTAAAAGATATACTGTGATAATCTAACTAAATATCTTTCCAAGGGTCTAAGAAAATGTACTACTGTGATCTTAATTAAACCCACCTCAAAATTCACAGGACATTAAGAAGCTGAGACAACAAAATTTTAAATTATATAGAGTTTCAGGTTTTACTAAAACATGCTGAAGGTATCAAAGTGACATTTGAAAACTAGCCTTTAAAATAAGTGCTAGCAAGGTAGGGTGGTGCATGCCTGTAATTCTAGGTTCTCAGGAGGCTGAGGCAGGAAGATAGTCAGTTTGAGGACAACCTGGGCAATTTAACAGAATTCTGACAATGTCTGATAAAATTGTAAAAGGGCTGGAGATAGCTGGGTGTGGTCACACATGCCTGTAATCCCAGTGTTCTGGGTGGCTGAGGTAGGAGGATCACAAATTTGAACCTAGCCTGGAGCAACAGAGTGGTTTAGCAAGACCCTATCTCAGGAAAAAAAAAAAAAAAAAAAAAAAAAAAAAAGGCTAGGAATGTAGCTCAGTGCAAAGGCTCTGGGTTCAATCTTCACTACTGTGGGGGCAGGGCAGGGGAGAATCATATCCAGGTGTAAACACCATTTCAGAGATTGAGAGTTTACTAATTCATCTTGTTACATTTTTTCCTTGTTTGTGGATGCAGCTAAAATCTCTGAAAAAGCCCCACCTATGTCCACATGAGGCCTTCGGGGGACATAAGGACATAAGCTATAACAGTTGCCTTGAATAAAAACTTCATGAGTAGTAAGTCCTGAGATTTTATCTGGGTTTGGCCTCATTAGATTCCAAAAAGATAACCTCTCTTGCCACCATTGGTTATATAATGTGTGTTTGTACAGAAGATCCTATAAACTAAAGTCAAGAGAATTAACTGAGTTGAGGCTCTTGGGTTGGAAAAACTTTCTCTTAAGCTTACAGAAGGCAGAGATTAGTAATTGTACGCTCATTATACCCCTGATCCATGGGTATGAGCCTCTACACTAGAACCAACCAGAGTCTAGGAAAGAACTCTTGCTTGACCTGCAGGGTGTAGGCCTACTAGGTCTTCCCAGGGAAAGATCTAGAGGAAGGTAAATGGTCAGGAAAGATTGCCCCAGACCTTGGGTTGAGTGATGTGGCCAAAGACCCAGACATTGGGTTGAGTGATGTGGCTATTTAAGGAACAGAAATTTCATCTAATTTGTAGGTGTTGATATATTGGCATTTTGTTACCCAAAAAAAAAAAAACGAGAAAGGGAGAATCCACAACACTATGCTATTCTGACATTTCTGTTGCTAAAACTGCTGAGGCCCCCAAAATTTTTTGTGATGTGCAAACACAGGAAGTAGACAGGTGGATTCACAGGTGTGCTTTTATTTCACAGTGAGATAACTGGACCCATTATAAGAAACGCATTGTTCAGCGATTCCAAACCCCTTCCATCTCCCAGGCTCCAGAACTAAATTTGCTACTGCCCATTCCTCAAGCCTGTGTCAGTGACTTAGCACACGCATAACTAACCAGACCGCCTATCCCTTCCTTCTCTCCTCCCCATCCCGGTTTACTGAGCCTTTTGTATTTTCATTCTGCAAATGTCACGTCTGCCAACCGAAGCCAGAAATCCTAGGTCTTCTGCTGCTTATTCTTAGCCATCATACCCTACTTCCACTTGAGAATTTTAACATCTTCAGAACATATTTAAATCTGGCCTTCTTTCATTCAGATCATCAGATTTTCATTAACTTGTGTACCAGCCCCACCACGGTTTAGCACTTCCAGTCTAACCTTATTGCTGTCCCGCCTCTCCCTCATCACCATTATCCTCCTAAAACAGCTTACTTTCCTGATGCAAAGCCTCCATTTGTTCCATTTTTTCCTACTGAATAAAGGATAAACTTGAATCTCAGTTCTGGGCCCAAACAGCATTGGTAGTCTTGTTTCCTATCCTGACGTCTGCCCTGTATGCACGCCACAGTTACCTAAAGAGAATCACAGTGTTTCACGGATGTGATAAAGCTGCTCTGAACCTCTAATTTTGCTCACTACCAACTCTTCTGCTAAGATTATTTTATTCTATATCCTTCTTTCCTGGGAAATGTTTATTTATCCTTCAGTACCAGTGTAAAGTTCAACTTCCTCGGGCAGGGTTAGTTGCTTTTGCCAGTATTTCTGCTGTATCATGTTGAATGTCTCTTCTGCATTCTCCAGGAAAGTGTCTTACTTGGTTTTAGTTATATCCCAAACACTTAGCCTCATACCTTGGACAGATACCCATAGGCACTGTATGATAAGAGAAAAGAAAATGGGTGAACCTTCTAGCCAGAAGGAAAATATAACCAGAAATGTGGGGTTCCAAAATATAACATGTTATATCTTTTTATTTTTATAAAGGAAAAGAAAACTTTATGTTTGTCCATTTTGAAAAATATTACTTTTTTTCATTTCACATGTTCACTATAAAAATCCACATATCCAAATTTGTGTGTCCTACTCTTATATCAGGTTGCTTATTTATTTATTTTTGTTTTTCTCCAGTACCGGGAATCGAACTCATGACCTTGTGCTTGCCAGGCAGGCACTGTGCCGCTGAGCTAAACCCCCAGCCTCTATATCAGGCTACTTAATAACATAAACACAATAGTACTTACCAATCATTAACAATTATTCCAATGAATAAATGATATTATAACATAATGTGAAGATATTAAAGGATATATACTTATATTTAAGTATCAACTCAGCCATTAAGAAAGTGCAGAAAAATCATACAAAATAAAAAACTAGATGGAAACACAGTTTAATAAACAAATTATTGGTTTCTAGCAGGATGACTGGTGGTGCATAGTCTTAATACCAGTAAAGAGTCGGAGAAAGAAGAGGAAATAGAGGAGGGGGAGAAGTAATGCACAGAAAATGTTTACTATTCTACAAACTTTGTATATATTAATTTGTTTAATCCTCATAACAACCCTATGCCACAAAGGATTATTGTCCCCATCCTAAAAATAAGGACAGTGAATTCACAGCTATGAAATTGCCCTCTTGAAATTTAAACCGAGGCAAGTCACTTCCCAGAATCTGTGTTCAGGGCAAATGCTCATACGGTAGCCCAGTAGCTGTAATTGTGTTTACAGAGGGGACTGAGAACCATATTTCCCCCTTGCTGTTAATTTCTACTTTTCTGCATTTTGCCAGTCTTTCCGAGTCAGTATTATTTTTATAGTAAAATATGAATATTAATAAACAGCAGTTAAAAATGCAAATTTATCAGAAATTGGTTTGCTATGCAGGTAGAAAAGAAATATGCTTTTACTAGAGAGAGAAACATAATTATCTGGAATGTGGTATAGAAAAATGTGCTTAGCATATAGAGAAACTAAATTTTTCTTAGACTCCTTAGATTTTGTTCCCTTCTCGTGGGGGGATAATTTGTGTCCTCGTTTTGTGATAATATTACTTTACCTTTCAGATGTTCTTACTCAACTCAAAGGAAGGTGTTAGCTCATCCCTTATAAACATATGCTGTCACAGAGTGGCCAGAAAAGGCCAAGAATCCTCAACAAAGTATTGTACTTCATTTTCTCATCCTATAGTCAGATCTTTTCCGAAAGGTTAGCAAATTGCAAATCAGAACATCCTACAGAAGTCGAGTCCTGTTACTTTCAAGTGTTTATATGCAAACATATGCAAATTAGGGAGGGAGCCCTGGACCTTCAAATTCTTCTTTCCCAGAAATTGTTGAATGAGTAATGGCCGCTAGGTGGTGCTAGTGCACCCTGGGATGTTACTGCTGCATGGGCTTCCTTCCTTGTAACCTGCGCGCTCGTCTTTGCTTAGATTTCACTGTTGAGGACGAGAAGCTAAGGACTGTCCCTAAAACAGGCAAAACA